GTGTTTATCTTACCTGGGGTTTACGGACAGAATCATTAAGGAGAGCCTCACACTCTCTGCACTCCTTCCTTCCCCTCACCGTGGACAAGGTACAGCACAGCTCTCTTGGCTGTCCAGATCTGGTTATCTCTGAAGTGCTAAAAAGGAGAGAAAAGGGAATTTTATCTTCACCTTCATCTATTCCATTTTCATCACTCTGGGTAATTCAAGTCACTGCTGGTGTCCCCTTCCACTCTCCAGTGTAGATCAGCAGGCAATGAACGGCTCCTTTGGGCTTGAGAAAGCCTTGGATGGCCTTTGTGTCTCAGAGCTCTCTTAGAGGCAGAATTAGCAGATTTTTCTCATCCCTTTAAGTGATGCCGCCTGCTATCTTCTGTCTCCGTTCACCCTGATCTGTGTGCTGCAGTCTTACTTCCTTTCTCTGTATCTAACTTGTCTTTCTTCTTTGCCTTCGCTTTCAGAAGCTGCGGGTGCTGTGGGAAGGGATGGTTTTGTTGTTGTGTTGCTGTTATTCATTTTCCCTAGTAATATTCTCATGGTTTTCCTGATCTGTGGTGGTTTCGTTCGCTTGCTCTGTGTGTGTCTGTGTGTGTATGTGTATCTGTGTTTGCATGCATGTGTGTGTATGTGTGTGCATGCGTGTATCTGTGTGCGTGCATCTGTGTATGTACATGCGTGTGTGTGCATGTGTATCTGTGTGCGTGTGTCTGTGTGCATGTGTGTGCGTGCGTGTGTGTATCTGTGCATATGTGTGCATGCGTGCGTGTCTGTGTTTACGTGCGTGTTGTGCGTGTGTATCTGTGTGTGTATCTGTGTGTGATATTTTCTCTACCTCTCTCTCATCCCTCTGGAGTGACTCTAACACAGCCTTCAGCTGAGTTTGCTGACCTGCGGCTCATGGGTGTCCCTGCCTCCTACCCAACCTTTTCTACTTTGTATTACAGCTTGGCTGATTCCGACTGTCCCGTCCTGAGGCCCACAGATTCCTTGCTTGCCTGTGGATCTCTTGAAGCTGTTCTTCATCTCAGTTGTAGTTTGCTGTGGGTTTTGTTTTGTCTGATACTATTGTTTTATTTCTGTGTTTTCCTTTTGGAACTTTATTTCTTCTCTCCTCTAAAATCAGACACCAAACCCTTTCTTTTCTATCAGTTTCTATCATCAATCAGTAATTTACTCTTAATGCCCAATAGTTTCAACATGTCCGTTGTATCTCAGTCGGTACTTCTTGTGGTTTCAGGCACCCACTGGGGATCTTGGGGTGCAGATAAAGGAGAGTGGGGTGCGCTTGCTTTAATGCTGTGAAGTACTGTAAGAAGCATGCAAACATGTAGTGGCGCTGTCTGTTTAGAGAAACAGCCCCTTTATCATTGTCTCGAGTATCATGGCTTTCATAAAACAGGTCAGGCAAAAGATAACAAAGTGGTGTCTTTAAAGACTGAAAGAAAGTCTGCCAGTCTCAAATTCTGTATCTACTACCAAAGCCCCACAACGTGCAGGAAACAGACTTGTCGAACAAAACAAAATAGCTTCACGGTGCACACCCGTCGTTACGACTGCACACCCATGTTAGTCCTGTGCTTTTAGCTCTGTGCCTTGTCAACACACGCGAGTGCCCATGACTTCTCTCCGGGGCAGGCTTCCTGCTGAAAAGTCAGTCATTGTTCTTCTAAGACAAGAAAGACTTGGGAAATCACTTCATTCCCAGAAACGGGCACATTCTGTTTCTCTTTAGTGCGCATGCCGGAATCTGTCAGGACACATGAGGGAGGTCACCCCCTCCCAGGAAACAGAGACATACACCTGTTTAAACACAACACCAGAGAACACTGTCCTCATCGCACCCCAACTTTGTGTACCTGCGCTCTGCAGCTTACACTCCTGCTCCTCAGTGGAGAGAGGAGAGCAGGGAACACTTTCCGGGAATGCATTTCCGTCATATTCACGGGGAGGGTTAGGGCGCACCTGTGTACTCAGGCTTGCAAGCACCAAAGGTCTTTGTTGTGTCTCCCTCAGTCACTCAGCACCTTGGCTTTGGAGACATGGTCTATTGCAGAATCTGGAGCTTGGTGATTTGGTTGTTACCGTCCAGCAAGCCCCAGGGATTTCCTCCTGTCTGTCTCCCCAGCGCTGGGATTACAGACGTATATGTCCACACCCAACCTTTACATAGGTGCTGGGTATTAACCCCCATGTTGGCATGGCCATTCCTCCAGCCCCTCACACAGCTTTTTTTGTGAACACCGTGCTTGCTTGGTCCTGTAGATGGGAGCTTATTGGTTCCCTTCTCTTCCCTGGAGGAAGGGTCTGCACAGCTTCAGTGGCTTGCATTCTTTTTTCATGAGTGCAACCCTTTTTAGCTAAGTTCTTCCTATTTGGGTCTAAGTCAACCCCTCCTAGCTGTCCTCCCTTGGAAGCTTCTTTCTTTCCTTAGATTTGAGACACTTACATCCGCTGTGGTGTCAGTTCAGGGGTTGGTTAAAGACAAGCTGTGATTTTGCAGCTTTATCGTTGTAATAGCAAACATCCCAAACAGAAATACCCATTGTGTTCCATAAAATAAATATTCCAAATCTTCATTAGCTTGTTGGAAATACCATATGTCGGTTTACAGGCTAAAAGTCAGAAAGAGCTCTTTCCAAAACAGAAAAGTAAATCCTCTTGGACCTATTTTGAAAGCCTTTGCTATTCCTGACATCTGCCACCAGGTGGTGCTCTGCCACGCAACCAAGCGTCTGCCTGGGTAAAGCAGGTGTTCAATAACAATTTTCCATGTACATGTGACAGGAATGGAGTGCAGTGGAAGCACATGCGGAGGATCTGCTTTTGAGGCGTCCCTGGATGTACCTTCCCTCAGCCCTCAAACAGGCTGAGCTGTAGGTCCCCAGCCCCTCACTCAGGTTGACAGGTTGTCAGGCTCTTTCCAGTGGATAGGCTGGGGAACCCAGTCCAGCCCATCTGCCGAGGGTAAGAATGCCCAGGCACCCTGTAACAGGAGGGTAAGAATGGTGGGGTGTCCTAGTTAGGTAATTTATCAGAAACAAAACAAAACCATAGCGACTTACAACAGACAGGGTGGGCTCCCTAAGTAAACAATCTGATAACAGAGGTTCTGATTAGCAGGCAATTCTTCCTGGGGTTCAAGAGCCTGCTCCAGCCGCCTCATGCTCATAGTCCTACTGTCTTTACAGGAGACATGGGCAGAGAGGGGGAAGCCCCAGATCTTACCACGGTACTCTACTCAAGGCCTATGTATTCAGCAAGCAAATGCCCCCAAGGCTAAGAGGATGGAAGTACAGTCACAGCTGGCAGATGGTTCTCCAACCAACACTGTCCCATGAAGGGGTAGCCAGACGAACCCAGAATGCCCAAATTATACCCACAGGAACTGATTCTGATGGCTTATTATTGTCTAGAGCAATCTTTCCCCAAATCCCTTGATTTCAGGATCCACAGGAGGCATATTTACAATGTAGTCCTCCATCCTCACTCAGGACTCATGGGTTGGCTGGCCCTCTGCATGCAGGAGTGCAGAGCCCTAGGAGTCTGGGAAGCAGTGTTGGTAAGGAGCACCTCTGCTGCCCCTAGACACTGGTGAGAAGCCAGGCTAAGGCCTCAATGTTTGTGACCTGTAGACGTCACCCAACGGAGACCTGTTCCTGAGCTAGCCCAGAAGCCCACTGTGCAGCTAAGCTGAGAAAAGGGAGGCCACATCAAAGCAGAAGCTGAGATGCTACCGCCTCCTCCCCATCAGACCCTGCCTGCACTGCCCCATCCCTGGCCACACAGTGAAACCCCCTAACTAGCCCATAAATAGCAAACTGCCTTTCTTTTAAGGTAGAGATTGCGCTGACAGTCTCCTTTAGCAACACTAGAGGGTAGCATTGAGTCCAGTTTCAGACTTCCCAGTATCGGCTCCTGGATTTTCTGTTTTGTTTGCCTTTTTGTTCCTGCCATGGCACTGCGTGGTATGACTCATGGGCTATGGCAAGCAAAGGAACAAAGCAGCTGCCAGATGCCCTGGGCTGGGCTTCTCAGCTGTGGTGGAGACCCCAGAGGGGTGGGGCGTTCTAAGTGGGGTGATACAGAGGAGACCGGCACTCATTTGGAAGGTGAAATTGGAAACCATCTCCCTACTTCTTCCTGTTCAAGATTCCTGGCAACACCCTTAGGAGAAGGCAGATGTGACACTAAGGATTCCATTTTCTGGGTATCCGGGACCCCTCGGGAAGTCTTACCAGATTCCAGTACATCTGTAGATACCCACTCCTAGCCCCCCTGATCTCTGACACTAGTGTGCTTCCGTCCATATGCTGTGGGGTGAACCAACTCCTGAGAAACAGCAGGCCAGAGCCCCACCTAATCACCACCTCCACAGAGGGCTCCCTCTCCGCTCACCTTTTAAACAGGCGGTGGCCCAGCACTGCCTAGTGTGGGGTTGCCTGCCTGTGTCCTGCGTAGGTAAGCCCCCTGTGAGCAGGCTCAGGGGCTCTGCAGCCCCCACCCCACCCCAGTCTTGCTGCAGTAGAACTCAGCACACACCTCTCCTGACTTACAAACTCTGCCGGTCCCCAAGATGAAATGGAGGCAAGAAGAGGCCACTAGCAAAGTGGCCTCCTCCGTACACCTCAACAGGCTGGGTCTTTGCTGGGAAGTAACAGAAGCAGTCGTGGGGTTTTTGTGGTTTGTTTGTTTTTTCATCCTGACATGCAGAGGGGTCCCTGTCCTATTAACAGAAAGAGACCCAGGCATTCCAGGTGCTGCCTCCACCAGCTCTTCATCTACATCATGAGAAATGGTTAACGTGGGCGATTTTGAAACCCATGCTCTTAACACTCCTGGTACAGAAGTTCTGCGTCTACTTTGTCTCCACGGGGTTCCTGTCACCAGGACAGCTAGCCTTGATTTTCCCTTACAGAGCTCTGAGTTCTGCTGAGGCCCCCAGCCTCCTTGCAGGCGGGTGAGCTGCCTGCCACCATTCCGTTCTCTCTCTTCTGTTTCAGCCGTCATCCCCCTGACGGATTCGGAGCACAAGCTGCTGCCCTTGCACTTTGCGGTGGACCCCGGAAAGGACTGGGAGTGGGGGAAAGATGATAACGACAATGCCCGGCTAGCCCAGTAAGACGTGCTCCACAGTCCGGTCCCTAGCCCAGCGGTCCGTGGGAGAGACGCAGTGGGGCTCCTGTTGGGGGTGGGGATAGAGGGCAGAGAGGATTGCGTGGGCAGACGAGGGAGCTCATGCCACCTCCGGAGCTTTTCACTCAAGTCTTCTTTTGTCAGCCTCATCCTGTCTCTAGAAGCCAAGCTGAACCTTCTACACAGCTACATGAATGTGACATGGATCCGCATCCCCTCTGAGACCCGGGTGAGCCTCACGTGCACGGGAGCCCCAACCTTGTGATGGGAGGAGGGGAGGAGGGTAGCCGTTCTACACTGTGTGGGATATAAAGCACTCCCCTCCCGAATGACAGGGAGGGGGCACGCTGGCCACCCGCAGCTGCGGCCCAGAGGCCCCACCCCCTCATGTGCCAGGTTCCCAGTCCAACCAAAGACTTCCTGTTGGTGCAAGTGGGGGCGTGTGTGTGCGCGCGTGTGTGTACACGCAGTGTGTGTGTGTGTACATGCAAGTGTGCGCCCCAGTTAGGTTTTCCCCCTCTTATTTTGCACAGCAGGAGAGGAATAACACGCCCACTCACAAAACAAACCGTAGGCAAGTCATAACACAAAACTATCTCTGCTGAGATCGGAACAAGATGTGCTGCTGCAGAGCGGAATTAATTATAACTGTGTGTGGATCCTTAGAAGAGCTGGGGAGCCGACAGCGCTAGTCCTCAGCGTGCCCCCTCCCCTCCCCGAGGCGGAGGTGGCCGCAGGTGAAGTTGGCAGAAGGCAGAGAGCCGCCCACCCAACGCCTGCCTTAGGGGAACTATTGGGCGGCCCCTATTTGCAGATGCTGAGAGATTTCGTTTTAAGTCTGTGACTGATGTTTTCATAATCTCGGGAGGGAACTCCCAGGGAAAGGGATTTGTTAAAATTGCGTTTAAATAATTGGTCCTCCCTGACATCCGTTTACTTAAGCATTCAGCAGGCTCTAAGAACTGAAAGGAGGGACCCTGCTGAGTGGTGTCTTCCCCACTGCTCTGGGGGCTCATTTCCCCTTCACCGGCACAGCATCCGAGCAGGGCGCCCCCGCGTGGCTCTGATTCGCCGTGTTTCTGAGGGCACAAGGGACAACCAGGCAGTGGCAATTCCTGCCTCTCCCGTGCTGGAAGATGCCACTGTGCCCCAGGATGTTGCTCTCTAAAACCCACAAGACCTGGTGTCTCTCTATAAAATATTCTGAGGCTCTGGAACTCCACTCCAGGGTGCTTAAGGGCACTCTGACTCTACTCATCCCCTGGGGATTCTAGACTAGTTATCTATGAATTCCAAGATAAAGTTTGTGCTCACTCCCTAAAAGGATGGCACCAAAGGTATGAGGTCTCTTCCAGATAACTTTACCAGCACCAGAGCCTGCCTTCCACCCTTGCAAAGATCAGGGCTCTGTGTAAGATAAACACATCCCTCTCTAGTAGACCCCACCGTCTCCCACCCTCACCCACCAACAGTAGAGACCAAAAAAAAAAAAAAAAAAAAAAGGCCAGTGTCCTGTTCTCAGCTCCACCTGTGTTCTTGGGGCCTACACGGTGACACCTTTTATAACGGCCTTCCTTTCCTGCCTTGCCTCTCCACAGGCTCCCCTTGCACAGCCAGAGTCTCCAACAGCCTCAGCAGGGGAGGATGTGCAGTCCCTGGCCGACTCACTGGACTCGGACCGCGATTCTGTGTGCAGCAATTCCAACAGCAATAATGGCAAGAACGGTAAGGACAAGGAGAAGGAGAAACAGCGCAAGGACAAGGACAAGACGCGCGCAGACTCCGTGGCCAACAAGCTGGGCAGCTTCAGCAAGACGCTGGGCATCAAGCTGAAGAAAAACATGGGCGGGCTGGGCGGCCTGGTGCACGGTAAGATGGGTCGCGCCAACTCTGCCAATGGCAAGAACGGCGACAGCGCCGAGCGCAGCAAGGAGAAGAAGTCCAAGTCGCGCAAGGGCAGTAAAGAGGAATCGGGAGCGTCGGCTAGCACTTCGCCCTCAGAGAAGACCACGCCGTCGCCCACGGACAAGGCGGCGGGAACGTCGCCGGCCGACAAGGGCAGCGGGCCACGGGGCGACGCCTGGAAGTACAGCACGGACGTGAAGCTGAGCCTCAACATCCTGCGCGCCGCCATGCAGGGCGAGCGCAAGTTCATCTTCGCTGGCCTGCTGCTCACCAGCCACCGGCACCAGTTCCACGAGGAGATGATCGGCTACTACCTGACCAGCGCGCAGGAGCGCTTTAGCGCGGAGCAGGAGCAGCGGCGCCGGGACGCTGCGGCGGCAGCCAGCGCCACGGCCACGGCCACGGCCACCGCCACAACCAAGCGACCGGCGCGCAGGCCCGAGGCTGAGGGGACGCCAGGCCCGGAGCGCGCCTCGCCGGGCCCGCCAGCCGCGCCGCCCACGCAGCTGGTGCTCAAGCTCAAGGAGCGGCCGAGTCCGGGATCTAGCGCGAACGCGCGGGCGACGCGGGCGGCGGGTGGCGCGGCGTCCCCGGGTCCGGGCGGTGGCGCGCGTCGCGCGGGAACCGGCACGGGTGGCCCGGCCCCAGGCCGCAGCCCACCCGCGCCCGCGCGCCAAAGCGTCATTCACGTACAGGCGGCCCGGGACGAGGCGTGCGCGCCGGCCGTGGGCGCGCTGCGACCGTGCGCCACCTACCCGCAGCAGAACCGCTCGCTCTGGTCCCAGAGCTACAGCCCAGCGCGCGGCGCCTTGCGTACGGTCAACACGGTGGAGTCGCTGGCGCCCGGCGGAGCGGACTCCCCGGGGCCCGCGGAGCACAAGTCGCAGACCTACAGCAACGGCTTCGGCGCGGCCCGCGACGGCCTGGAGTTCGCCGATGCCGACGCGCCGGCCACGCGCTCGAACGCAGAGTGTGGCCGCGGTGGCCCCGGGCCCGCTCAGCGGCGCTGCCAGCGAGAGAACTGCGCGTTCTACGGGCGCGCCGAGACCGAGCACTTCTGCTCCTACTGCTACCGCGAGGAGCTGCGGCGGCGGCGCGAGGCGCGCGCTGCGCGGCCCTGAGCCGCCCGAGACTGCTTTTCCATCCTGTGGGTCTTTTTTTAACTTGCTCTGGTCAGCCGAAGGGCCGGCGCCTCCTCCTCGGTCAGTGCCGTGTATGTGTTTGGTCAAACGTTCCTAATGGTGCCTGAACCTACACTGATGCCACTCAGGTAGTAGACGGATAGGAAACAAGTCATACTGTTGGAAGTGGGTGTGCTAGCCTAGCATCTGCCTCGTACCTGTGGAAACTCAATAGCCATTGCAAGAGTATTTTTGTTCCTCTATACGAGAAATAAAGAAAATCGCAGCCCTTTGTTTTTAGAAGGGAGTGTTTTACATGCTTCCCCCTCCCCAACCTAGGGACTGACCTTTTCCAAGTAGCGGTCACATGCGTGCAGTTGGTAGCACGCAGGGTTTAGAAACAAACGCGCAGCCAGGCCTGAGGGGAGCCACCTCCGCGGCTCCCATGTCCTTCCCACCTGGGTCCCTGAAGACCTCCAGCAGGCACTTTGCTACCCGCTGACGCTGGCCCCTTAGGACTCCCCAGCTCCATCTCATAAGCAAATCCTCCCACAGCCCCCAGCTCGAGCAACATTCACACTGCCATCCAAGCCGCGGGCGACCACAGAATGGGCACCGGACAACCTACCTCTCAGGGCACGGTGAGGTGTAGCGATCGCTCCAGTGCAGAGCCGCTCTTGTGACCGGAGCTTCCCAGAGACACTTGGGGGTGCGAAAAAGCTGGGTCCTGAACTCCTGCTCGTATTGGCCCACCTATGAGCCAGAGTGACAGGCTGCTCGTGTCTCCTTTGAAGACATGTGTACAGTGGACTGTCGCTGGAGAGTCCTTTAGGAGGTGATATCACATCCGTGCCCCAGAGGAGGGGACAGAATTGACCCCTTGGTCACTGTGTCGGCCCCAAAGTGGGCTGCTTTGAACCCAGCCTGGCCTCCTTCCGTAAGTTAGGGGCTGAGAGAGGGCCGGGAGGAAACTACCCCTACTCCACCTGCCATCTGTCAGGGTTCAGACAGGTTAAAGGGCTCTCTGCTGGTGGAGACCCTTCACGGGGCAGGTGGCCCTGCTCCTGGCTCCATGCCACATTGAGGGAGCAGCCCAATCTCTGAGCAGTCTCCTTTCTGGTGCCTCCTACATTTCTTGAGGAAAATTTAAAAAAAAAAAATAATGTGTCCTTAGCTACCCTATTTTGAGCAGCAATATGCAGCCTCTTCCTTCAAGATTACCTCCGCAGACCACTGTTCTTGACCAAGGACACCGCGAGGCTAGCCTGTCTCACTAAAGAGCAAGCTTGCTTCCAGGAAATACGGAGAAGATGGGTAAAATCCTCGCTAACGAAACAATACTTTCATACCTGTGAGAGCTTTAGACCAGCCCCTCCCCCCGTAACCCTAAGACAGGAGAAAGCACCTGCTTCCCCCTCAGAGAGCGCAGGAGATGGGTCCCACCTTCGCTGGAGCCAGCCTCTCCTCCTGAAAGCATGTTTCATCCCGTGACATCCAGAGCAGCAAGAGCAAAAATTAAAAAAAAAAAATTTAAAAAAGGAAAAATAAAAAGTTTTCAAAAGATGGGGAGGGAATTTTTTTTACCTGTTTGGAAGATGGTAATACAATAACTGAGTCTCTCCTGTGAGTACTTCCTTTTTGTTTTTAATTATTCCACAGCCTGTGGAGTTTTCAGTAATGTATTCAAGTTTTGCATAAAGTGGTTCCTTAAATCAAAATTATTTATTAAATAGACTCTTTAAGAAGTTTTTCCAAAGTTTTATTTTCGTGTTGAACAAGATGCTTTAAGTGTGTGGTAATAACTGATATTCATGACCCTGATAGTACTGGGGTTTCTTTTGTTACTCAGAAAAAAAAATATTCTCAGAAAAGTCTCTCACTGAGAGGGTTTGTGGCAGCTTTTTTGGGGGGGGGGGGGCTGGTTTCTTTCAAACACATCACCTGAACAGCTCTTTCACCCTCCAGCGCTGTAGGTCACAGAAGCCTCTGCTTCCAGCAAAGTGGGCTGCCCTAGCTCATGCCTCATCCCTCAGAGCACCCACCTGATGTCTCAGTGTGTATTCAGAAGCCCAGTGCGTAGACACAGGAGGCGGGTATTCATGTTTGCCTTTCTCGTACTGTTAAAACAACCAACAAGAAATTTCCAAACCTGGCTATGCAAATCCTTCATCTTTCTCATGCACTCTGCCAGAAAAAAAAAAAAGTAACAAATAAGACAGAGGATTAAAGTAGTTCGTTGTAATAAACCCTCCCAAACGGGATAATGATACGTACTCTTGAAGCGTGACAGCAGATCCTATCTCCATTGCAAAGTTACTTCTCCTCCCCATCTAATGATGAATGTGCCAGACAGAAGAGCCTGGGGCATAGACCCAGACTGCAGACTTGCGATCCAGGACGAATAAAAGGCCCCAGCCTCTCAACTTGGTCTCATTGGGCTAGACAAGGTGGAGCAGCGGTTGAGGCCAGCTCCAAACAGTCCACGAGGTTAAGAGTAGCCATTGCCTTCTGAGAGAAGAGCAGCTTCTGTGTAGTATTAAAAGTGGAGAGCCGGCCGGCGGCGGTGGCGCACGCCTTTAATCCCAGCACTCGGGAGGCAGAGGCAGGCGGATCTCTGTGAGTTCGAGATCAGCCTGGTCTACAGAGCTAGTTCCAGGACAGGCTCCAAAGCCACAGAGAAACCCTGTCTCGGAAAACAACAACAACAACAACAACAAAAGTGGAGAGAGGCCAGTGTAGTGTGAACATAATGTTTCTGGGTGCCCGCAGCCTGCTTCGTGATCTTAAAAGAGGTGACTGCTGTGCCCTCTGACCATGCTTAGTGGCTGGAGACAGGAACGCGTAGACCAAATTCCCCAAGATGTCTTTGACCGGGCCGCCCTTTGTGGACCAAAGAAAGGGACGAGGATAGGGAGTCCCAACTGATGTGTTGAGGGACACCGCGCACGCCAGTAGTGAGCAGCGCTCCCCATCTGATCTAGCCAGACTTTCCGAGAGAGATGGGTGTCTCTAAGCAACAGTAAATGTCCAGGAGAACAGATATTTCTAAGCCCTGTGGAGATTATTTCAGAGGTTCACAGTTCCTTCCCAGGCATCGCCTAGGGGTGGTTTTATTACTTTGGCAAGGGAAGCAGTTTTTGAGTGTATTGTTTGTAGACTTTATGCACTGTTGCGTTCAAGTTTTATAGGCCAACTTGAAACTGTACTCTACGAGTTATTTTTATACGACTCTCAGACGTGCCACAGAGGAATACCTTGCACCCTTCTTTTCACGGAGTTGTCCCTTGGAAGAGTGAGTCGGGGTGGGCGGGGCTGCACTGTGGGATGGTGGAGTCTCAGCGCCTTGGTGCGGACCCTCTGACACTGGGACCGTGTAAATGTTTTCTCCGTCTTGACTGAGCTCTTAGTTTGTTTTCTTCTGTGTATGGGTTCGTGCGGCTGCATCTTTTCTTATCAATGAAAAATTTGTCCCTAAGTTCCGGTGTCCCTTTCCTTACCTTTGAACCTAATGTTTTCCAAATTTAATGGTATCCAAAATAACTTACAAATTCTGCTAGCATATTGTCATGAGTATCTCATTATAACAGAAGATGAAAGAGCCACCCCAGTGCAGGCCTCAGGGTGTGGAGTCCCCCATGAGGTCAGTACAAGCCCCAAGGCTCTGGGCAGAGCCAGCTGTAGCAAGGCCCGCCCTTTGCATCTGTAAGTTTATTTTGCAAACTCTCCTAACTGTAAAACCAGACCTTTCCCATCAAAATATATTTCACGTTGATTGGGAAAAAAATAAACAAGGAGGTGGGCAGGGTTGTAGATACTGGTGCTGGGAAATTTGTGAAAGACAGAAAAAGGAGAGAATGACATTTGCACTGGGTGGGTCTTCATTGTTTATATCAAGGCTTGGAGTAAAGCTAAGGGCACCTGCCTCATGTTTGAGGTTTCTTTGTGACATGCTGTTTGCCCCTGATCATAGAAAGGACTTTGCATATCAGTTCCTCCCATGTTCTTTGCTTCCAAGGCTTCTAATAAGGAGAAAGTATTTTGGTAACTGAGTGAGCTAGCTCTGGCCTTAACCCAACCCATGTGAGATAGAAGAGTGGCCCAGGTTCGAGCTCTTGGAGGCTCCTGCTCTTGTCCTTTGAAGAGAAGCACTTGTGAGAAATCCGGAGGTGGCCAGTACTCCTGGCCCCAGGAAACAGGCAGGTCCCTTCCCAAAAGCCTTACATAGCAGCTCTCCAGACCTCTGAGCACCCCGCCTCTCTTTGCTAATCCATGTGGATGGAGGTCTTCAGGGCAGAGACCCCCACTTCTTCTTGCTGCCTTCAGATCCTCCCTATTGGCCAGGCCTATGGGGCAGCACTGGTTCTGTTGATCTAAAGCCTGGTTCTGAAGAGTTAACCTTGCTCTCACAGAGCTGGGGCCAGGTAGTTCATCCTAGAGGCTCTGTACTCCACAGGGATGCTGGGAGTGGCCCACCCCAGACCTCCTCTGTGAAGAATGTCTCTAAGGAAGACCAGGAGTCTCAGGACAACTCCCAACAGCAGACAAGATCATCTGAGAGTTTTCAGCGTGGGGTGAGATATATCCGCAGCACACAGGCTGGTGCTTTCCCCAAAGAGCCAGCCCTCCTCCCACTCCACCGCCGCGTAGAGAAGAGGGAGGGAGGCACCCTACAGAGATGCCTGAGGATCTGCAGGAGTGCATGGTCTGTATGGGTGTGGAACACTCAGCGCACACTCAGAAGCCATCGTCCCCAAACATGCTAGCCGTATGGCCCTTCCTAATAATGCAGAATAATTCATTAAAATTTGAGTTTTTAATATTTTAGTTTAAAAATTTTTTAAAAGATCACAACCCCTAATTATGTTTAAATGAAACGATGCACACTGCTGTGTTATTCCTCCAGAGAATATCCCATAGAAGTGTGTGTGCATATTACGTATATGCATGTATATTCTGTTTAACATCAGCTGAGGAATATCAGTTGGTTTTAAATGGCATCTGCTCAAAACCAAAGCAGTGAAATCAGCCATTTCAGAATCTGTCTCCACATTCTGAAGGATAGCTTCCCAGGAGAACACAATTTCCATGACATAGTAAGCGCCAAGATTTTACAAAGCCCGCCCTGAACCAGTATGTTCTTGGCCAGAGACGGGGTCATCTGATTACCAGGCAGCCTCTGGCCTCAGGGCCTTTGTATATGTTGTTCCTTCTGTTCTTCACTTCACTGCCGCCCTTCAGCAAGGCCTCCTCCAACTTGGCTATATAGGAAGCTGATATGTCCCACCCTCCCTTCCGTGTTCAGCTTCCTCTCACAGCCCCTGGTCAACTACTCATTCTTTCGGTATGCCACAGCCCCCAGGTTCCCATAGAATGTAAGCTCCCTGCAGGCAGGACTTCCCATATATCTTGTCCACTGCTGTGTCCTGGTGCCTACAGGGGTGCCTGACACACACTAGGCACTGGATAAATACTGGTTGAAGAAAAGAAATGAGATCACTCATTTGATACGACACCACAAAATGTCAGTTTCATTCTTCATCGAGTCCTGATTTTTCTGCTACCGTTACACATAAAAACTGTGAGCTGGTCAGGTGGTCTGGGTCATCAGGACTAGAGGTATCAAGTGACTAGCTATGGCAGCTTATCATTGGTAACAGCAGTGGTCACCGTCCGTCTCAGAGTGGGCCCTGTAGCCAAGCCTTTCCTCACAGTGGGGCCCTGCTATTTGCAGGGGGCATTTTGAGTCAAGCTGAGGTAAAAATGGTCCAGAGCGGGTAGCTCATAGAATGAGATGCGCTACGGAGAGTCCCATCATACTGGCTATAATGTCATTGGAGATTCCAACCGTTCCAAAGGAGCCTTTCTAATCGATTCCTAGGTATCCATCTGTCCTTCCTGTACCAGACACAGTGGCGCAGGTGTCCCAGCCCAGATGAAGGATTCCTTCTCCAGTTACCAAAACGCGGGGCAGCAAAAGGAAAGGAAGTGATCCCTCTGGTGATTTGGGACGGTGGTGGGATTCACTGGGTGTGACACTGGGTGTACACTGGAGTGACAGAAAGCCACACACACCTCCATGGACCTAGGACACTAATGGAGACACCCTCCCACTAATGGACTCCACCTCACCCACCGAAGGGACCGCTGCTCCAAAGCCTATTCCCTCTGCCAGGTATTTTTCACAGCTACCTAACCACACTGTTTACTTCCTGGTCCTTTGGCCAAATTCATTTTCCTCTAAGAATCACTGGCAAAACACTGTTACAGGCTGCTCATTGGGCCTTTATCCTCCCGTGGCCTGTTGTAAAGGCTGTGTCCTCTTTTATCTTCTTCCGTGGTTCTTGCTTTCCTCTCTCTCTGGATGCTATACTGTAGGGTTCCTCTCAGGTGTGATATCCCCCATAAATCCCTTCTGCATCTGTCCAGCTGTGCAAATGGGCACTTGCACGTGTGTCCCCATACTTGAATTGCCAAATATGTAATATTCCTTTCACTGCTGCCCGACCAACTTGGGCCCCTGCTCCTGCCAGGACTCAGAGGGGACATAGCTTCCCAGAGGGCACTGCTCACCCTGGCGAGTGCCCAGGGGCGGCCCAACTCTCAGCCTCCATGTGAGCACATCAGAGTTTGAATGAATGGTTTGGCAGTGAGAGGAGGGCAGCACTCACCCATGACCCAAGCTAAGGCATAGGCATGAGCATACCATACAGACCAGCCATG